CTTACTAACATAATAGAATATTGGCAAATATTCTGTAGGAAAATATGTATAGTCTCCATGCCAAGTTCTTAGAAGCAAGAAAGTTATTCATCCAAGAAGGGCATCATCAACCAACGATAGAAGAGCTGGCATTCCGTGTAGGAATTACAGTTGAGAAACTGCAAAATTTGCTAATTTTGATGAGACATCCACTTTCAATGCAGCAACCTGTGTGGAGTGATCAGAATACCACTTTTCAGGTAATGTTACAGAAGTCGACTCAAATACGATAAATGCAATGTGTGCAATTTGTTTTAGAATATGATAGTTGCACATAAGAAAATAATTTTGATAGTTTTTTTTTTCCCCTTGGCTTTTTGTTTTGATTTGTTATTTAATTTGTTCTTGGGTTCATAAAAGCACCATGGTTGATGCCATATATTCAATTTCAGAAAAAGGGGGGGGGGGGGGGGGGGGCTCTTGAACCAGACTTTTGAATTTTTTATTGGCTTATAAAATTTTGAGTTGATGGGAGAATTTCTCAAACTAACCCCATCTTGCTCATTGACATAGTATGTTAGCCTTGGTTATAATTTCTACTTTCTCAAATAGGAAATTTTACATAATTCAACTGCTTTACATATAGACAGTGTTTCTCAAGATTTTAAGCCTATATATATTTTTAATTTAAAATTAATGATAAATCATGTGATAAGTAAACATGAATATTGATAAACATGAACAGAGAAACCTTGGAATATTTTCCAAACATGTACTTCATCTGCTTTTTATTTAGTTGCGTCACTTTAGTTTTCACGGACTCTTAGGCAATTTTGGAGTAAAGAGAGGTAGAGAGAAAAAAAATAAATAGGGCCCATGTAATTCGGATGTACATATACTAATTTAATAGAAAAATTAAAATTTGAAATGCAATTGAACCGGAGTCTTCTTAGTTTAGTGTTTGAAGGAAGAAAGTTAGTAAAGCAAATGAAAAAAAAAAGGATAAAAAGGGTGTGGGGGGCTCGAACCCGCGACCAATGTTCCAAAGCAGTTACCACTAGGCTGCAGCAAGTAGTACTATATTTCTGTGTATATTATTGTATATATGTAGTTTTTGTTTTTAAAATAAATTGGATAGAATTTTCCGAATCCAGTATGCTGAACTCATACTGGAACCGCCATTGCATGTGATACAGTGATAGGAGAGAGATAGAGAGAATTTATTAGTTAAAAAGGAAAGTGATGCAACTAATTAGAAACTTTCGTTTAAAGAAAGTGATGCACCTAAAAAAATGAAGTATTTGATGCTCCAAATAGAAACAAAGCTTTGGGATACATAGAAACCAACAAGAGGGATGGCTGAGACTGGACTAATATGATATAATCTGTTGCTTATGTAATAGAGTGATACTAGTTCCTATAGACTCTCTGGCTAATGATTATGCTTTAGGACAGAATGTACTGTGGAGTACTAGATTTCTCGTTTTTAATCATCCATCTGTAAGCCTGTTTGCCCAACATGCAGGTGATTCTTTTACGTTTAGGAGCAGTTTTGCAAATGTTTGTAGTATCACAAAAATGTGGTTATCCTTCTTATCCATAAGAATAGTTGTTTCGTTAGGAGCCATAAATGGTAGCAATGGATGATGATGTAGACAAGTATCAATCTGAGGTCCTGTTTTCCGTCTCCCAATGACTTTACCACCTATGAAAGATTACGTGTGCGTCTGTAGGAATTACTAATTACTAACTGATATTATGTAAAAGCTTATAATTGCCTGTTCTGATTTACTGAACTGAAATGAACTGAATATTTTATGAGAGAAGGAAATTAGAAACTGAACTGCACTGCACTGAGCTGATTGGAGTAGAGTTGAACTGAACTGAAAATAAGCTGAAGATAACATGCCTTAATCAGCCTTTAAAAATAAAAAGTGTTACAGTTCCATTTTTGACAAACTATTACTTACTAATAATTAAATATTTCTTCTCTCTTTTTGCATGGTCTCCACTCCTTTTTTCATAAATTTTCTCCTACCCTACTTTCAATAAAAATTTTACTGTATATTTTTTTAATTACTCCAACTACCCTCTTTACACTTTTTATAATAAAGACAGTTAATCCTTAATCAATGTATTGATCAAACTGTAACACTTAAAAACAAAGGGAGTACTAACTACTCATTCTTCCTTTGCTTGAAAGGAAATGTAAGGAGTGTTTCAAATGGGTACCGCATGAAATTAAGTCTAAGAAATAGGTAGCGAGATGGTGTTCTTTGCAGCCCCCTTGTTACAATCACATGGTCAGTCATGCAGGAGCATCCTCTAACATTATACATCTCCAATTATTGTCAAGGCTGCCCATTAGCTCCCTATTATGATCAAACTGTTAAATGTATCCAGTCAACCTCACTCGTGAACAGTGTGATAGTTCTCATATAACTTGGAAGAGTCTATCACACCTTACTAAACATTTATGGTAGTTGGACTGTCTCCATACCTCTCGTCATTATTCAACCTTAGGAAGGGTATTTTGAAAAAAAAAAAGAAATATATATATATATATATATATATATATATATATATATATATATATATATATATGGGAGGGATCCGGTGAGAATAGGTCTATATGTGAGAATTCATACTTATGTGAAAACTGATTTAAAATTTAGAACATGTGAGCAAAAATTTTGAACATGTGACTCAAATTAAAATTCTGAACATATGAGTAATAATTTAAAACATTTGTGTGAGTAATATGTTTAAATTATCTGATTTAAGAATTAGAACAAGTGATTAAAATTTTATAAAATTTGCTTTAAAAATTTTATAAAATTTGCTTTAAAAATTTTAAATATATGAGTAAAATTTAGAACATATGATTTAAGATTATGAACATGTGAATAAAAATTTAGAACAAACTGATATAAAATATAGAAAGTGTGAGTAAAGAATTTTAGAACATACATGTAAAATAATAGAACATACGCTTTAAAATATGGAACACATAATTATAAATTTTAGAACACACGTTTTAAAATTTAGAACATATAAGTTAAAATTTTGGAACAAGTTATTTAAAGTTTATGACATCAAACTTAACTAATTTATGGTTAGAACATGTGAGTGCTAAATTAGAACATTTGATTTAATTTAGAACGCCTAAGTAAAAGTTTAGAACATCAGATTTAAAATTTAGAACATACGAGTAAAAATTTAGAACATAAATAGTGTTCTCACATAAGAAAAATTCTCACGATGTGATGGCCTTTATTTCCACGCATTCTATATTCGAATCACTTTTATTTTGGATAAGGGAGTATGTATGTAGTCTAGCATCTGAATTGGATCGTCAAAAGTGTTTTGATTTTGATAGTATATATGCTTCTGCTGCATTTGATGTTCACTTTGATCATTAGCCTTATTATTTTTCTCATCTGCTGGACAATTTTTTTTGCAGGAGATCACTGCAGATACTAAGATTGAAAAGCCTGATGTATGTGCGGAAAAACAATTGATGAGAAAACATATACGCAACCTGCTCTGTACGCTGGCTCCCAGAGAAAGACAAATAATCAAACTGAGGTTTGGCATAGGATCTAAATCTGAAAAACGGAACTCATTATCAGAAATAGGAGCCATGTTTGGTTTGTCTAAGGAAAGGGTACGCCAAATAGAAAGTCGAGCTTTGCACAAGCTTAAGGAATCACTCAACAGCCATGGCCTATTGGAGTATACTGATCTGCTCTTGTAAATCAATATGTAGTCTGTTTCCATATCAATTGTTTCATTTGTTAGTTTTCATGTAAATTAGATATAATGTCATGGTTGAAATCTGATGTTTATATTACTACCCACTTTTGGTAAATGGGTCTTCGTGTAATTAAATGGAAGTTCTGTATCTAATTCTTTCTCATGGATTGTACATATCTCGTTGCTAATAATCTTTCTTATTTCTGTCTGAGCATTACTGGAATTTTACATATAATATAAGTCTTTATCTTGTTCCCTTTCCCCTTTAGTGTTCCATTACTTCCACATACACCTCAATTTATTGTCGCTTAAATTTTTAGTGCCTGAAGCCATCTTTTAGTTTGTGATGATTCTATACTAAGATGCTTTTAGGGTGATAAAAGAATTCGTTGACAGAAAGGGTATTATCCCACTTAGGGGTGCTAGTCGAGCGAGTCGATCACGAGCTAAAAGATGCTCGACTTGACTTGAAAACTTTTTTTTATGTGTTCAACTCGTACTCGTTAAAGTTTCGAGCCAATAAAACATGCTCATCTCGTGCTCATTAATGTTTCGAGTCGAGCCGAGTAGCTCGCGATCTGTTCGTTAAAGTTTTGGCCCTTCTAAAATTATAGACTTTTATTGTTTTTTCACTTTATAATGTTTTCATTTAATTATTTTATTTATTATTAAAGATTTACTCTATGATTTTTTATACTATAAATTAACTCTTATTAAATATCAATTTTTAGAACTATTAAATTTGTTCATGGTAATAACTTTGTAAATTCTATAGTAACAAAATATATTATGAGTTGTTAGCTTATTGAGTCGAGTTAAAACTTGCTCAACTTGTGCTCGTTAACATCTCGAGATGAGTCGAATTTGAGTCGAGCCAACTCGAGCCGAGTTTTGACCAAGCTTTGACCGAGTCGAGTCCGAACTGCTCAACTCGATTAGCACCCCTAATCCCACCCCTCTTTGATAGCAAATGGTTAAATCCATTATGTACGAGGCTGCAACTTTCTTAATAAAGTAGAAAGTTTTATCACAACCAATTTGGACATTCACCTTCACTAGCTGAGTTAGCTACCTTGATATTTGATTCTGTTCCAAGCACACCCTTTTCGTAAAGACCTGCCTCTCTTATTACTACTCAAGATCTGCTTGCACTTTTTTCTTGCAAATCTATGGCTTAGAATGTGAAAGCAGAAAGTTTTGAGGGTTTGATTACATCCTCCAAACTTGTTTCATTGACAAGGTTGGACTAGGAGAAGTAGTATAACCATTGTAAGAGAGATATAACAAGAGTACAAATGACACATTTTATATTATAGGGAAAGGGTGTACTAATACAATAGATATTTTTTGTCAAAAATAAAAAATTAAAACTACAATAGATATGAAAAGGTTAAGTTCCTAGAATCACAACAAAATGAGTGTGAATCCTACCAAAATTTCCAAGTTCAGTAAAAATTTGACCTAGGCTTCAGCTTGAATGAAGGCTTCCCACGAGTGAAGTATATACTGTACTGTCTGGAATAAGGCCTGCTTCTATCATTTGATCAAATAATTTGAAAGCTTCATCTGATTTTCCGGCCTTTGACAAACCTGCAATCACTGCTGTATAAGTAACTACATTTGGAACTAACTCCCTACTAGACATTTCATTGAACAATTTCAGTGCATAATCCATCTTTCCATTTATACATTCACCATGTATTATTGATGTGTACGAGTATACATCAGGCGATACACCCCTTTCCTCCATCTCGTTTTTCAGTTCATGAGCCTCCTTCATCCTACCTTTCTTACAGTATCCATCAATCAAAGCGTTATATGTGACAACATTAGGACCTTCCCCCTTTTTCTCCATCTCTTTAAAGAGCCTCCTGGCTTCGGCAAATTTACCTTCCTTACAATGTATGTCGATCAAAGTAGTATAACTGATGGTGTTCAGTGACAACCCTTTCTCTAACATTGAGTACAGGAATGTCTTTGCCTCCTCATTTCGATTCAACTTGTGCAACCCACTTGCCATAATGTTATACACATATGCATCGGCCATTAATCCTTTTTTCTCCATGGAATCTTTCAGCCGCAGTGCTTCATCCATTCTTCCCTTTCTGCAATAGCCATCTAACAAAGTATTATAAATCACACGATTCATCTCAAGTCCTTCAGTTTGCATCTCCTTCACAAGCATCTCTGCAGCGTCCAAGTGCCCAGCCTTACATAACCCATGTATCATAGCACCGTAAGTGTGAGTATTCGGGCAAAGACCTTTCTCTATCATTTCATCGAAAAGATGGCAAGCCTTCTTCATGTCTTGTTTCATACAACACAAATTGATCATCACTGTATATAGATGCATATCTGCCTTCACACCTCGCTCACACATTTTCTGGTACATATTTTCTGCTTCTTCAATCTTCCCATTATTCGCGTATCCATCGATCACAAGTGTATAGGTACCTACATTAGGCTCCACATTCACCTTCTCCATTAGCCTAATCACTTCATCAACTTCCCGAAAATCTTGTTTCCTTATAAAATAAACTATCAACGAATTATACGGATATGAATTCTGCTCTATTCCTCTCCTACCCATTTCATCTATCAACTGTTTAGCCTTATCAATCTCTCCTCTCTTACATAGACAATCGATCACAAGCGACATCGAATACACAGTTATTTCGACACCAGAATCAACCATCTTAGTAAAAAACCTAATCAATGAATCAAATTCCCCAGATTTCTTAAGAGAAACCAAGAAAACCATACAACTCCTCTCCTCAATTTCGAACCCTCTCTCAGTCATATAATCAAACACCTTAAAGGCATCATCAAACTGCTGATTATCCGCATGAACTCTCATCAAAAGATCAAAACATTTAGCTAATTTCTCACTCTTACTACCACATTCTTCCACTATAGACACCATATCTGACACTGGGCATCGAAGATTATAATCAACAGACACAGAATTCAACAAATTTTTCGCAACAGCGAATTTTCGAGCATCTAACAATCTAAAAATGAGGGTAATGTAAGCTCGAAGATCAGGTTTCTGAGAAGATGAAGAAGGCAAATTCCGCAGAAAATCAAAGAATCTTAAGCAAGAAGTAACAGGGACAAGTGGGTTTGACAGAACAATTTGGGTTATCTGTGAATTGACATTGCCAAAAATAGGTGATTTATGAAAGTTTGTGAAGTTTGAGGAGATTAAATATTGGGAAATATGTTTAGTAATTTCTTGATTAGATTTTAGATTATGGACTTGATTTTTGAAGACACTGGATAAATTTCGCCTGGACATTTTTTCAGGTGAGAAACTACAACTATATGATTGAACTCGGTGAAAATTTCAGCTTAACTTTTAGACCAAATTCAAAGAAGGAAGAAGAAATTTATTAGAATGGAATTTGAAAATTAAAGTTCATGGAGCATTCTAGCATATGTACCAACTACCGAGCAGAAAAATACTGGAGAGAGGAGAAAATCTCTGTTAAAATGTAACATTAACTTGGTTCGTTTATATGGGTAAACGCGTAAATGCCAATTTGACAGTTAACGATTGTGTTAGCGGCGTCAACTTATGACAATCCTCAAGTCCGTTAAGAATTCGTGACATCTCGTTAGAAATTCAGGTGAGCTCCAGATTGTGCCAGGCGTTTTCCCCAAATTCGAACTTCAGCTCCTGCCAATTGGGCTAGCAGTAATTGACTGAACAATTAACAACAATTGAGCTTGTAAATGTTCTTGAGTCGGACTTGAGCTCGGGAGGCGAGTGCAAGCGGTGGTGTGAACTCGGGCGGCGACTGGAAGTGGTGGTGCAAGCGGCGATAGAGCTAGGGTTTCGTAAGTGTCCTATCCTATAATATGGCCTGTTCATCCTGTTATATGTTTTGAGTTGGGGATGTGAGTCAATTGTGTGTATCGTAGTCATATTGTCGACCTGAATATGTGTGTAATTCATGGACCGAGTATGTTTGCAATGATCGATGCAATAGCATACTGGTAGTTTAGGTATATGGTTGTTGACAAGTAGGGACTGGCTGTTTAGGTTAAATTGAATTGATATGGGCAATTAATTATTTAGTGTTTTGTGCTGCTATGGAATGAAATGCCTAGCAACAGGTAGTGGTGTGTTAATTGCTTGAAAAGTACATTTAATTGAAATGATATGGATGTAAAAATTATGTTGTGCTGCCCATCAACAGGTAGTGGTGTGTTAATTGCTTGTAAAGTAAATTGAATTGAAATGATATGGATTTAAAATTTGTGTTGTGCTGCCCATCAAACAGGTAGTGGTGTGTTAATTGCTTGGAAAGTAAATTGAATTGAAATGATATGGATTTACAATTTGTGTTGTGCTGCTATGGAATTAATTGCCCCAGCAACAGGTAGTAGTGTGTGTATGGTTTTGTTGATTTAGTGTGTGTATTGCAATGTTGTAGTAGTTGGAATTTTTATTTGATGAAAGGAAATGTTGTCTAGGTATTGTTGTAGTATGGATTCAAGAGTGGATTCAATGGGGAGTAAGAAAAGGAAAATGTGGAAAAAAGGAAATGTTTCTGAGGTATAATATGCTGCCATCATATAAACTCTGATATATTGTAGTCCATGTGAGTTGGGTGAGTATGTAAGTATGATCATTGAAGTGAAAGTGAAAATGATCTTGTCAGGAAGGAGGATCAGGTCACATGAAGAAAATTTACCCGGTGATATTCAAGGTACGTATGATTCGTGTTGCAAAGAGTTAAGTATGATCATTAAATTGGGTAACATAGTGTGATGTTCCTGTAGGATGACTCTTTAAGTGTTGGTGGGGAAGTGAAACGGAGAGGTGAAGTGTTGATACAACACCTCAAGGCTCGCTGTAGGGTAAGTGAATAATTGCATAAGATTTATGCATTAGTAGTTTGTTAAGAAGTGGTTGATATGTTGTTGATTGAAGTATGATGAAATAGAAATGCATATATATTGTTTAATTGTTTTACTTTGATACATGTCTATTACAGCTAGCTAATACAAGTTATCGGTTAGAGTCGTTTGGTAGATTATGCCAAAAATTGGACGATCAACGTAAGCGATGGGTAGGTGAAATGGGGTTTACTGGGTTGTTAAAAATTGGAGTAGACATGAACTTGCCAAGACAGTTGGCATATTGGTTGATGACTCGTATTGATCCTTTCAATTGTACTCTTACTAGTCGAGATGGAAGAGTTTTTCCGTTGTCTCAAAATCAAGTTCATTGGGTCTTAAGTATTCCTAACGGGGGGTTGCCTGTCCCGACAAACTGTTCATTGGATAATGAAATGTCAGAAAAGGTAAAAAGGATTATGGAGAATTATGGTAAAACATGGAATAATAAGTCCATTAAAACTGGTCGTGAGTACATATTTAAGGGCATTTCAGTAAATGCTGAATTGATTGGGCGGATTGAGGGACAATGGAAGGAAGATCAGGCGGATGAGTTCAAGACAGTGTTCCTGTTGTTGTCGCTTGAGATGTTGTTTTGCCCTAATCAGTCCTCGAGGTTGGCTGCTGATCTGGTGCTAGCTTTAACTTGTGCTTCCAAAGCTGTTGAATATGATTGGTGTAGCATGGTGTTAAAGAAGCTCATGGATAGTGTAGCGATGTTTGCACGGTGACAAGGGCCGGACTATGTCGTTGAAACTAACCCTACCCTAGGCCAAACAAAATTTGTAATCACTCAACACACCCTTATACAAGTATAATGGTAAGTCGAGGGTCGAACCACTAAGGAATGGAGGGCGATCTTATATTGTCAAGTCAAGCTATTCCGGAAAGGTTAGGTAAGGGTGTGAATGCTAAACAACTAAACAAACTAGGTTGGGACAAATGTAATAAACACTAAGGCTCGGGATCCACATATACTTGTAACGGATTCCGCTAATTGGGAAAGAGTTGACTAAGTCGAGTGATGCGAGGGAAAACCAATCATGCAACCAAAATAGCATATCAAGCTATTTTCCTAGAGGTCTAACTAGCGTCAACTACGATAAACTCTAGCTACGAATGTCACAAGACACCTCAATCGTTAAATGCAAGTCACAAATCAATTATCCGTATCAATGTGAACCTACAATGCAATCTAGTGTGAATAACTAGGGTGATCAAGCCTAAATCAAACACACACATGCACATAATCAATTAACCAATTTAATCACATTATCAACTCAATAATTTCCCCAAATTAACATCAATCCATTACTCATATATGCTTCACCATTACCCTAGCAATCAAACTACTCACAATCCATAGAAATCAAGATCAAAACAAAGCTAAACAACAAATTCATCATGATCAAATTAAACAAACAAAAATCAAACACAAATCAATCAAACTTCAATCAAACTAGAACATTCAACAAAACAATTGAAATCAAACTAAAGATCAAACTAAAGATTGAATTAAAGAAAAGGAATCCTTACAAACTTGATCAAAAATCAAAGGAAACGAAAAAATCTTCGATCATCAACAATCCACCATGAAATTCTCTCTCTAAAAACCTAGAGTTTCTCTCTCTAAAATCTCTCTAATTATGCTCTAATTCTGATCTAATCTATTCTCTCTGTTTGAGTTCTCCTCTAAAAATAGAAGGAAAAACTATATATAGGAAAGATAGAAAAGAAGAGTTAGTTAGATCGTCCCAAAAGAAACCTCAGAAGGTGCGGTCGCATCAAGGGAGAGGCGCGGCCGCGAGAAAAAGGGTATGGAACAGAGGCCCTGGCAGGCACGCCCGCACCAGCATCAGGCGCGCCCGCACCACCCAGGTGAGCGGCCGCACTACCCTCGTGCGCGCCCGCACCTGGCAGCAGGGGAGCCCCCCTTCTTCGTCCTAGCTCATCCTCGTGCGCTCGTCTTAGTGATGAGGATGAACACTAAGGTAGGCAGTCTTGAAATGGCTATTTTGGTGGGTTCATGCCAAAGATGATGCCTCCACTGCATGCATGCACCGATCTCATGAACTTGCTCCTTGCATTCCTTCAAACTTGAGCTCCAAATAACATGCAAGAGGCATCCAAATTGATGAGAAATATGAGAAGAAGGCTTGGGAATCCTCAGAACACGATCATAACCTGAAAATACACAAAAACAAGCAAATAAAAGGGAAAAAGACCAAATAAACAAAGAAATGCACAAAGAAAGAAAACTAACAAAAGAAAGCACAAACTAAAGAAATAAAAAACAAAACTATGGAAAACTAAAGACTCAGTACATAAACTAAATTTTCTAAAAAAACCAAAGCACGACATAATCTAAATTACGACATAAATAAATTATCTAAATTACATTTTTTTCCATCTAATCCCCAACAAGACTCAGTACCTATTGAGCGCAACAACTTTAGCTTCACGTGCTTGGAAAAGGTGAGGATGGCATAATCGCCTTCGCTTTCTGTGGAATTCTGATAGTATGATCAGATTTCTCAAGAATTTCAGAGTATTTAAGCAGTGGGCCTTTCTCTCAAGCAATAATTGGGAGAATGTTTTTCTCTGTATTCAATGTAAAAACGGCGTACAATCCTCTAGGGATTAGCAAACCTAATAGTTACATAATATACACAAGGCTAGCCACTAAGAAACTAACACCTAGGCTGCACAAAAGAACAGGAAAAACAGCTAGAGAAAGCCGTACAAAAAGACAACTAAGACTAAGCAGAATACAACAGAAATAAATATATACTAACTAGTGTTGGTTTTCTTCATCCCCTCCTCAAGTTGGACTTGGTGGTGAGAAAAAAGTCCCAACTTGAAAGACAAAAATTTATGTTGCTGTTCAGTAAGAGCTTTAGTCATGATATCTGCCAATTGAAGTGAGGATCTCACAAAAACAGTAATAAGAAAACCTTCCTCAAGTCTTTCCCTAACATAATGACAATCCTTAGAAAGATGCTTGGTGCGCTAATGAAAAACGGGATTCTCAGCTACTTGTTATCACAATATAAAGGTATGGGTTTAGGAATGGTGAATCCAAGGTCTTCATAAATGCCATCAACCTAAACCATCTCACTTGTAGTCTGTGACACGCTTCGATATTCAGACTCACAAGAAGATTTGGAGATTTGGAGACTGTTGCTTGCTTCTTTGTCTTCCAAGAGACAAGACATGCTCCAAGAAAGATGCAGTATCCTGTCAAGGATGTGCCAGAGAAAACGCAGGAACCATTATCAGCACCGCTGTAAGCTACGACTCTAAAAGGGGAGTTATTAGTATAAAACAACCCTCAATCTGAAGTCCCTTTCAAATATTTTACAACATGTAAAGCTGCTTGCCAGTGAGGTTCTCTAGGACAGCTTATGAATTGACTTAGCTGTTGAACAGAGAAAGAGATGTCTGGTCTACTTAAGTTAAGGTACAATAGCTTTCCAATCAAGCTTATGTACTTCTCAGGTCAGTCATGATTATCCCTTCATGATTGGACAGCTTGACATGCTTAGGAAAAGGAGCAGTTGCAGGAGTGCAAATGCTTAAGCCAATGTAATCAAGCACATCAAAGACATATTTTCTTTGATTAAGCAGAGTTCCCTTACTGGTTTTGGATACTTCCAGACCAAGAAAGTATCTCATCTCACCTAAGTCCTTAGTAGTGAACTCAACATCTAACTGTTGCTTCAATAGAGTGATATAATCATCATCATCACCTGTAATCAGCAGGTCATCAACATAGACTAATATGATAATCTATTTTCCAGATTCCACTCTAGAAAACATGCTATAATCTCTAGTGGATTGAAAGAAGTCTCTTACCTTCAAAAATCTTGTAAGTTCTTTGTTCCATTGCCTGGAAGCCTGTTTGAGGCCATACAAACTTTTCTTGAGTTTGCAAAATTTCCCTTCAGGAGCCTTTGTATATCCCTGAGGTGGTTTTAAGTAAATCTCTTCATCAATATAGCCATGTAAGAAGGCATTATTGATGTCTAATTAGTGCACCTTCCAATGTTAAATTGTTGCAAAATTGGCACCTGGAGAGAATGTGTGCTTGTAGTCTTTTCCTGTGAGTTGTTTATCCCCTTGAGCTACCAATCTTGCCTTCAATCTCACAATATTCCCATTTCTGTCAAATTTCACTTTGTTAACCCATTTTGAGTCCAAAGCTTTCTTATCACTTGGAAGATCTGCAAATTCCCAAGTTTCATTTTTTTTCAAGAGCCCCTAGCTCTTCCTCCATGGCTTCTGTCCACTCCTTGCTCTTTGAAGCTTGTGAATAATTTGTTGGTTATGTGACCTTGAGAACATTGTTAAGAGATATAATGTAATCTCCATCATAAAAGTCATTTTATGTGAGCTTGTGAGCAGTAAAACATGGTGACTGATCATTATGGTCAACATAATTACTTGGTGGAAAATGAACCTCAAAATTCTGAAACTTAATTAGAATTTTTCGGTCCCCGGTGGATTTTCTGATTACAAGTGTTACCTGTCCTGTTCCCTGCATCAAATCCTGAATGATTTCTTGAGCTTCATTCTTGTTCCTGAGTAGCTTCCTCTCCATGGATTTCTTCTTCTAAAACCTCATCAGAATCATCTTCTTCTTCTCCCAGATTCACTTGAATCTCCTGATTAACTAAGGGAATACTATTGTATAACCCTTTGTTTCTTCTGCTCCTTTCTCACGGTGCAAAAAAGGGAAAATTTGCTCCTTGAATTTTACATGTATGCTGGTAAAGACCCTTTTCCTTTGCAGATCATAGAGCTTAAACCCCTTTTGAGCTATGGGATATCCAATAAGGACTGCCCTAATTCCTCTCTCAGCAAACTTGTCATCATTCTTCCTTGCTTCACTAGCATAACACATGCATCCTATTGTTCTAAGATGTTTGTAATCTGGTTTCTTCTTCCATAACCTCTCATAAGGTGTTTTCCAACCTATCACAGCACTAGGCAACAAATTAATTATGTGAGTTGCAGCTAGAATGCATTCCCCCCAAAATCTCTTAGGCAATCCTGCATGTATTCTCAAAGCTCTTGCAGTTTCAACAAGGTGCCTGTGTTTTCTCTCCACTTTTCCATTTTGTTATGGAACTCCAGCTATACTTGTTTTGTGAAAAATTCCTTTTTCTGCAAATATGTTGCTACATTCAAACTGAACTGTCTCAGTTCCATTATCTGATCTAATGGTTTTAACTCTTAAATCAAAATGATTCTCTACATAAGAAAGGAATCTTTCCAATATATCTCTTACAACTTCCTTGTTCTTTAATAAGTGCACCCAAGTTGCTCTACTATAGTCATCTACTATAGTTGAAAAATAAGTTGATCCATCTATGTTGGGTGTCCTATAGGGCCCCCACAAATCAACATCCAGTAAGTAAAAAATGTGAGAAGCTATGCTAGTACTAGCAGGTAAGGTAAGTTTATGATGCTTAGAAACTGAACAAGTATCACAACAAAATTTTTTAATATATTTGCAATTACAAAAATCCAAATGTTTCATCTTAGACAAAGATCCATGTCCAAGCCTAGCATGCATAACATCTAGGGTAATAGCATTATTACAGGGAAAAATTTCAGAATTATTTACCAAACTTGCTGTTAAGACAGTCTTGTTGGTTTCTTCTTTGCTCAAAGTGAACTTGTACAAGTCATTTGTTACCTTCCCAAAAGCCAAGCTCTCTTCACTAGT